CCCGGTAGGCGCCACTGGCCCAGACGAAGCCACATGGTTCTCCATGGCAGGCACCCTTGATTCCGTTTGTCTTCCTACCAGCTGGGGGAGAAGGGCGAGGTGGGTTAGCCCAGGACCTCTGTTAAGGAGATGGTGGGCCCGGGAGGGATGAGGATGGGGGGGTCTTATCACCACAATCCACCCGGCCTCTCCCCACTGCTCCCAGCCTGCCGCTCCTCCCAGGCTTCCAGACAGAGAAGTCCCAGAAGTCCCAGGCTCTGCTGGGGAGGAGGGAGCCTGGCCTCAGACCTGGTAAGACTGGGGCCGGCCCTGATGGGGAAACCCGGTCCCCAGCCTTGTTTCCATGCCCTGCTGGCAGGCAGCAAGGTGAGCAGAGGGGGTGCTTATCTCCCAAGCACCTCCTCTTTACAACCACGATCTGGTTCCCCAAGGCCAGGTCCCTCTCCCCAAAGAGCTCCAGCACCAGCACCTGACTGTGAAGCTCCCCCCAGCCCCAGCAGGGCCTCCGCCTCAACCCATGGCTGCAGTCTGAAATCTGAGACCCCACTCAGTGTGACCTGGCCTTGCTTGGCATCAGCTGAACCAGTGTCCAGCCAGACAGAGCCTCAACGAGGTCCGCTGGCCCTGCAGGCTGGGCAGCCCTGGGACTCCCACCGAGCTGAATGAGGATTGCACGTGAGAAAGGGGCCGCTCTGGGCGGGGCCAGTGTGGTGGGGAGGAGGCTGCTCCAGCCAGGTCTCCTGATGGCTTAGATTCTGGCACCTCCTCTCTGGGGTCAGAGCCAGAACCTGCCCCATGTCCCATGTAGACTGGTCCTGCAGGAGTCTCAGACTCCACTGATGGGACCTCGGACCATCCTGATCCTGTCCTGGAAAGGGTCCTGGGTCTCCAAGACCAAGCTCTCAGGACCTCCTGGGGGAGGGACTCTCAAAAGAGAAGCTGAGGGCAAGTGGTATAGTGGCTGAGGCACTAGACTCTCACATGACCCACCATGGTTCAAGTCCCGGACCTGACAGCTTGAAAATCAGGCTGGGCGTGTGTGTGAGTCCAAAATCCCAGGAGGAGAATGGAGGAGAAGGGATTGCAGCATGACCATCCCCCCGGAGGGCACGTTCTCACTGTCCCTCTCTCTGTTTCTGTCTCTCTCCAGCCAGTGGTGTGGGGGCGCAGCACCTCTGTGTGATACTGGAGCCACGTGGGAGCCCTGGGCTCGGATTCCGGGTTCATCTGAGCACACTGGAGACCACTGCGATCTCAGCAGGTGCGCAGGCTGCGGGAGGATGACACGTGGCAGTGGCGTGTCCTTGTCAAGGAGGGACATCCCCCCGTTAATAAAGTTTAAAGAGAGAGAGAGACGACCCCATGGTTTAGTGATTGAGGGAGCCAGATCCCACATGGTTGACTGCGCGGTTTGAATCCTGGCACTGGCAGCTTAAAAAACACACGGGGTATGTTCGCGTGTGCTCTGGATCCCAACAGGAGAGATGGAGAAAGGATTGCAAGGTGACCGTGCCCTGCTGGGCCGCACCTTCTCCCTCCCCTTCTCTGTCTCTCCCTGGCACGCACACGTGCCCTCTGGCACCTAACAAACAAGATCTAGAGAGAGAGAAGCTGAGGAAAGGCCAGAGATCCAGGACATGCACCTTGTCCCCTGGGGAGGTGCCTGCTGGCCAGGAGGTGAGTATCCTGACTTTAGAGCCAGAAGTCCTCGAAGCTTTGCTTTGGAGAGGGCAGAGACGTATCTGTAAAGAGCTGTCTGCACAGCCCTGGGGAGCTGGGCAGGGCGGGGGGCGGTGCTGGCACTGCGTGGCGGGGGAGGGGCGCTGGGATGGCATATGGACCCCGGCTGCCAAGGCAGGGCTCTCACCCAGGACTAGGAGGTGGGAAGGCCTGCTGCTGGGCGAGAGGGCGCAGCTGCCCCTGCCTGCAGCTGAGGCTTTGAGGGTGACGCTCTGACTACCTGTGGCCGCACTAGGTGTCATTGCCAAGGAGCTACTTAGGCCACCCTGGCCTAGGCCCAGAGCTGGCAGTGAGGCGGGCCCTGGGCAGCCATCGAGGTAGGTCCCCAGTGCTATCAGGCCAGGCCCTCCTTGTCCACCTGCCATCTGATACTGCCCCACCCCCGCCCACAGGAAGCTGGCCAACCTCAGCAGCCCACCCTGGCTTCTGGTTCCCAGGGCCCGCTGGGGCCAGAAGGGTGCACCTTTTCCCTCCGTCCCAGTCCTGTCTTCCAGGGAGATTTGAGTTTCCTGCAGGCCGAGGCCAAGCTGGTTGCTGCCCACCCCAGGGTGGGGGAAAGGGAGGGACACAGGCTGTCTGTGCCAGGCAGTGAGGAAATTCTCTCCAAAGCCTCGGAAATGCACTTGTACCCGTGGTCCTCACTCTGGCAGGTAACCAAGCTGTTACCCAGTGCTGCCAGCACCTGGGGACCAAGTGAGGCTGAGCTCGATGGGGCAAAGCTCCTTCCTCAGGGAAAGGAGGACAAAGCAGGCACAGGGAGGCCCGGCCTGTGCCAGGGCCACAGCAGATGCGAGGTACCGGGGAGGAGGGATAAGGGGGCCTATTATTATTATTTTTAAATTTGGTATAGCGGGGCTGACAGGTGGTTAAAGGCTTTAGACTCCCACGTAGCCCACCGGTTCAAGTCCTGGACCTGGTGGCTTGTTTTCTCACTTTCCCTTTCTTTCTCTGTCTGATCAAACTGGAAAATAATAACAATAATAATAAATAAAGTTAAATAAAATAATTATTTTTTAAAAATTGCTATAGCGTGTATACACTTGCTCGCTGGAGAGAGAGGGACAGAGAGGGACAGTGAGAAGTCACACAGCAGTTCCTTCTCCTCCATTCTCCGCTCAGGATTTTAGGGAAGCACGCACATACACCCGGTGTGGTTTTCTTTTCTTTTCTTTATTTTTTTTGGAGAGGTTTTTGCTATAGGGTGCGTGCGCTTGCCAGACAGATAGAGACAGAGAAACAGAAAGCGAGAAATCACCCCCAGGGGGGGTGGCCATGCCACAATCCCTTCTCTAGGGATCTTGGGCACGCACGCACACGTGCCTGGCATGAGTTTTAAGTCACTGGGTCCAGGATGAGAACCACGGTCGACTACGTGGGAGTCCAGTGACATAGCCATTATGCTAACTGCTGGTCCCCACCCGGTGTAGTTTTCAAATTACCAGGTCCAGGCTTGAACCGCGCAATTGGTCCCATGGAATCTAGCTGCCTGGCTGGTCTAGGGGCCTCTTTGAGAAGTCCTGGAGCTGAGCAGACAGGCCTGGGGTCTCCAGCCTGCAGCCCAGAGAGGAGGCTGCACAGGACCAGGAGGAGCCCCGCATGCCGGCGCTATCTCCACAGGTTCTGTGGCCAGGACAGCTGGTCTCAGGGGAGAGGCGCTGGGGCACCCCCACAGCAGGAGGCCTGAGACGTGGAGCCTGGACAAGGCAGGGCAGGCACGGGGTTGGTGCTTGTCAGTGACCTGCAGGGACCAGCTCAGCTCTCACCAGCAGCTGCTCCACTGATCCGACAGACTGAGAGCTCAACCCCGGCGCAGAAGTGGTCAAGGACACCTAGGCCAGCAACAATGGGGGAGCAGCTGTGGGGTTCTGTCCCCTCTCCTTGGCTGTACTCGCCCCTGTTCCTTCCCAGCAGGTGCACACGGCTATGGCTGTAGCAGACACCCCATTCCCAGCCACTAGTTTCTCTTTCCCCAGGACCTGCCAGGGTGACCCCAGGGGTACTGACCTCTGC